AGTGAAGTAAGAAGACCTTGCAAACTAGATGCGCTTACTGAATGTGAATTTGTGTTTCTGGGTGACTCTAGCATCGTTTGTAACCCTACCTGCTCTCTGCACCAGCGCATACATTTGCCCACTTTCTACACAGATCGATCGTGAAGCTAGCATTACTTTTGCAAAATTGGCATTATAGCTTCCGACGTGCTGCGAAAACGCATCGGTTCATCGAAACCAATTGCGATGAGTCAGAAGTCAGTCGGTTTATTTTCAACACACTCACATTCAGGCAATACCGACCAGTTTAGAAAGGTATGCAGTGTAGCCAAGTATGTCCGGCAATCGGAATGTATGCAGCCTAGTTCCGGCTGCATACCCATTACCATGGTCTGTTAGGTTGTGAGGTTTATGACTGGAAGAAAAATTCCCTCTCCATTGCGCGCAACAGTCCCCCATAAACTAAATAAGCGAAAACACGAACCTGGTTCAAGAAGGGCAACAACTGTGGAAAGCGATGGAGTTCGGCCTCTTCTAGGGGTGGCCTATCCTTGGGACGAATGGCTTTACAAAGCAATGAAATCAAAAGTTGTGCACAAGATGTTGTACTCGAAATCGCACCGTTTTCCGCCAGGCATAGAAGGTACCCACGCAGATGTGTGATGTTAGAAGAGAACATACATGGTTTCAGTGGATACGCCAAATGTTGGACAGAAGAAAATTTGAAATTGATACTGAACGCTAATAAAATTCTACTCCTTTTTCTAGAGAATAAGCAATTCCAGTCTCTCTCTGGGCTACAACCTATCAGAATTTATAAGAAGTGTACAACCGGGTGCCCATAGTGGATACGCCAAATGTTGGACAGAAGAAAATTTGAAATTGATACTGAACGCTAATAAAATTCTACTCCTTTTTCTAGAGAATAAGCAATTCCAGTCTCTCTCTGGGCTACAACCTATCAGAATTTATAAGAAGTGTACATCCTGATAGGGTGCCCATAGAAAACTGAAACACAGTGTTCATTTTTCCGAGTTGGTATGTTGTGTGTAGCCAAAAATGGCAACAATACCCCCCTCTCAACTTGCAAAAAGTTGCCAGTGCCGGTAAATGCACCCGTAGAATCACTTGCTCACGTGGAACGGACTGCCACCCGTTGGTTAACACTGCGAAACATTTATCCAATCGGATATTCATTCCAGTTGGCAAATCAAACAGAACAAACTGCACTAGATATGCGACAACTACCGGGTTACTTTTAATTAAAATAAACCAATGCGATTCGATGTCCAGAAGTGGATGTCTCGGAGTTTAGCTATGTTCTGAGAGGACTGAGCAAACGGTATCCAACATTTGTAAAACTGATCTTCCTTGTTATTGGATTTGTCCTGTTGTATCCAAACTTTTGGAACGGTTTTGCACTTTCGATCCCCGTTCTGTAAGACCTGAACTGAACTGACCTGTTACCAGCAATCCAATCATATTCGGGATAATACACAGTGGTTGAATCGTCCTTTCACTTTCTGCACTTTGTTTTCAACATCTTCACTGTCGTAGCGAGTGACATTTGGGTGACATGTTGTGAAACCACATGAGCTTTGTCAGCACCGTCAGCGAACGGTTTTTTCTTGATGTGAGTTTCCATTTCGTCGTTGGAAATTACTGCTTCACGAAATATGGAAAACGCAAAAAGAATCATCAGCATCATCGAATGTTTGTAAGCTAATCCGACGACACTTTTTCGGCCTCATCTCTGTGAAATCGCCTGACCTTTACCTTCGAAAATACACAAGTGTACTTTCCTTCTGTTGTGCTTGTGCCCTCTTGCACTCTGTGATAGATACAACGTGCACCTCGTGGCGTTTTCGACGTTCCACTATAATACCAAAACTTGAAAATATTGGACTTAATTTTTGCAAAAGTCAGCTCTCCTTAGAGTATGATATTAACGACTAGGGGTGACCTTGAAAGGTACGCTACTGATGTTGAACAAAGCTCGCTGGATTAGAGCACCATGCGATACATGAAGAAAAACTATGGGGATTATTTCGAACCATTTTGGTGAGGTTAACCACTAGATTCAAAATGCCAAAGAGATGTCATTACCTCGCCTGAATGAGTATTACCAGTGTTTTCAGGTCTAATGTATCTGACATTGTCATACTTCAGTAACGCATCGAAAGCATACCTCTTCAGCGGTTGTAAAGTGTCTACTGAAACTTTGTCTGTCAATTTAGTGATCTCCAATGTATGTTATCTCTCAGGACGGCTAAAATACTAGGTTTATTGCTGGAAGAACTTTTAATGGGCTTTACTATTCGGAGAGATCACACTAGGGATCTTGGATCTGAAGGTCAAACATCAACTTTCTCCTTGAGTGCATCTGTCTCTTTTTTTATGTAATTCGGCCAAAAAATTGTCTAGAACTTTCTTTGTCAGTCGAATATAATGATGTCGAGAATGCTGAAGAACCAAACTTTTCAGTTATGTTTCAAGCGGATTTGATGGTGGTGATAAAGATTCAAACCAAATGCCTATCCATCGGTCACTCGGTTCATTCGTGCTCTCTTCTGAACCCAAAAAGTCAGCAAGTTATTGTCAAACAGATGAATAAAAGTCATGAGTGCACTTTTCAGTTATGTTTCAAGCGGATTTGATGGTGGTGATAAAGATTCAAACCAAATGCCTATCCATCGGTCACTCGGTTCATTCGTGCTCTCTTCTGAACCCAAAAAGTCAGCAAGTTATTGTCAAACAGATGAATAAACGTCATGAGTGCAATCTGCGGCTATTGAGATATCTTTGTTTAGACCCCATTTCAGAGGAAGTGACAACTTGATGGATCTGACATTATTTGATTTCGGTGGTTCAGATTCACAAATTTCATCCAGCTGTGTGTGTAAGGTGTAGTCAATAAGCAGGAGCGAGTCCAAAACAGAGGTGACCACAGTTCTATTCTGGCGTCCAGCATTAGGCACTGAATGAAATACATCCACTCCGTATTGGTTAGATCACGGACCGGTATCGGGATAGTGAATGCGGACGACTTAAAATGAATGATAGTGAGATGAAGAGAGGAAGAAAACTGGTTCTTAAAATAACAGCAGGCGCTCCGTTTCTTTCTGAGAGTTCCGTGTGTTCTGAGTAATTCCAAACGGGAGGAATTTTGGCCTATTTAGCAACTCGTGTACAACTTGGATCACTGTTCCGAATAAACTGCAGTGCATAACCCTTTATAAGAAACGTCCGGATAATCAAAAATGAAACTGATAGCGCTTCGGAATAGCACACAATCACACCCCCTCTACGAACAACAACCGAGCAAGCTTCTGTTTCTGGCTTCTCAGAAATTCTACCGCTATAAACTCACTTTTCGGTCGTTCGAATCTTATTCCCACAGTCTGGTGAAGCTATTCGATATGAGGTCCTGAGGATAACCGGCTGAGAATGTGATTGATTCTGCCAATGCTTACTAGCAGCCTTGTTGATCACCGACCAGTTTTACTCGACCAACCTCGGCTAACGTTTGTTCTGCACGTTTAAAAGCAACCGTATAGATGGACAACCAGTTGTGATGAGCTACTGACCGCAGGCTTGTGAATGCGCTTGTCTAACGTGAATGTATCTCCCCATGAGGGTAGCTAACTGTGAGATATCTAAAGCCTGAAATATACGTGTGGAAACGCCGGAGCTTTCCAACTTTCGAGAAATTTGCAGAGTATCATTGGTAAATTCGGAGGTACAACATACAAATCAATATTCCAGAAAACCTGAGTAGTGCTTGGATAAATTTTCCTACTCCGTAGAATGCTGAAAATGTCACGACTGTGCCTAACGATTCAACTCAAACGGTTCCATCTGTTTATTTAAAGCCATGTAGAGTTTTATTGACCTTCGGTCCTTTGTGCTTGCTTGGAGACCAGCTGTTGACCATTGTTTCTAGGTATCTGCCGTTCCTGTGCTCACTTAGGCCATGTGCCAGAATGCGCTTGTTCCATCCAACGAATTCGTTCATTTAGCCTGCAAGTTGAACACTTCAGGTATAAGAAAAAGTCCAAAACTCCTAGTCGAATTCAAAACGTTTAAGATATGAGGCATTGTCAAGAGCACCATCACTCCGAAAAGTAATCGACTCATCGGGGAGCATAACTAAGAAGTTCCCGTGTACTCATTTCCAAAAGCCGTTAGGGCTGCTATTGACGTCCTAGCGGTTTGTCGACTCAAATGCATACAATTGATGTTTCGCGTGCAATCTACAAAATAGATTGGTCGACTGTAACCTGGAGTGTTGTAACTCGGTCAGGCAACAATGTATTTACCAGTAGTACGTTGTTCATCACGTACTGAAAGGTCACGGGATTTTGGAGATAAGCCAGACATGTGCATCCATATGCACACTGCAGAAGCAGTCGAGTCATCCATACAGTTATCGGGTCTTCTGTGGCGCGCAGTGCGACCGTTCTGTTCAGTCTACTGGCTCTTTATTCAACATGACAACCTTCCGGAATAATCGTCAACATTTTCTCCCTCTCTATCAAGCTCGGTAGCACTCGGTTGTCTGCGACAGCCCAACCTCTCTGAATTCCATATCTTACGGAAGATGTCTTACACCATATTTGCTCCGCTTTGCCTCAGAAACCCAAATGGTACAAACTGGTCCCCGTGGCTCAAAAATCCACGTAGACATGCGTACTAAACGAGCAACTGAGGTGGACGGGGTAGGGTTGGGAACTGACGCCCAGGTTCCAGCTCCAAGGCATCGAAAAGGCGAGTCACCTTCCAGGTACGGACATGTATGCGGCGAAAACGTTCCTTCTCTTGTGGTCGGTAAATATCCGAATCAAATATATCCATCTGTCATAGTTAGGATGAACTACAGTTGCCATAAAATCAGTAAAAAATGATCCAATGGCAAAATATCGTTCGGCGATCCATAAAATACTGTATGAACAGTGTGGCATTAGCATGTGTCTGTCTCGTTTAATTAGTTTTAGAATGTCCCATATCTCATTTGTTTACAGGTACGTTGACTTCAAGGAATTTTTGGAATTCGTTGATGGGCGTTTGGCAAAAGTCTATGCATCCTCTAATGGAATCACTCAGGAAGAGGCCGCTGCTGAGTTGCGGAGAAAAATTGCTGACACCAACCCAGTTGCTCATGGCGCCACAGTAAGTTTCAGTTCCAGACTATCTGTACGCGTATTCTGAGACTATAGTGAACCTTTTGCAAGCCACTTGCTAACTTTGACCCCCCGTTCGACAACGAATACACACGCGCGGGCCACCAATATTCCGACACACTACCAAACGTCTCTTTTCCTCATTGAGACCAGAGGGTCTTGTAGCGTAAGCACACAACCAAATAGGATATTTTTCCCTAAATCTGTGGTACTAAAGACGAGGTTAACAATTGATGCACTTCGTCACCCACAGCATTTGTGGACGCGCGACGAAATTTCGTCATGACGTTGCACCACCACATTGCACTGGAACTCAAGAACACGGTTCCGAATTCATAAGCAAGAATGACCAACTACGTACACCAAGGCCTTTCCAACATGGTACCACACATCCACGACTGTGAGTGAATTACCAAGTGAAGTAAACCCAAGAGTAGAAGCTAGTCGTTTCCCAGATTAAAGACGATCTCGGTATCATACAGATTTCACTTGATGTTAATCAACCTTATCGAAGTACACTCATTTGCAAACAAATTTGGTTTTGTGAGAGACTCACCTGGAACCCACCTGAATCTCTTGTTTATGATGTTTTTAAGCAACTGAGTGTGCTGTACAGGCCGCCTCAGGTTTCATTTGGTACGATATTCGAGACATCGTGATACAGGCACAGACGCAAGGTACTGCTCATTAGCAAATCTCTCGCAATACCAAATTTGTTTGCGAATGTGGGTCCAAAGAGGACGTAAGGTTGACGGAAACTCGGGGACTGCGTCAATAAGGGCAAAAAAGGTCGTGGGCTGTCGAAGATTTCCCAGCAACCTATTGAGTAGTGCATTACGTACATAATCAACCTTGTTTTGTGTCGCCCTGATGCTAGGGCAATTAAACACATTTTTTGTGACTGATCAAATCCATGCGCACAATGGAAATGCGTCGCTTTAACTATTCGCGCTATGTCACATTGAAAAGAGAACATACTGTTCAGCAGTGGCTTTGTTTTGACCAAGAAGTGTCATGGGATTGGAAGGTTGAGTTGCTTTCAGACCACATAATTCCATACGAAAACAATCGAACATGCAGCAGCAGTCAGTAGACAAAATATTAAAATCTGAGCTACTTATGACAGCTGTGAAATGCTCAGTCTACTCTAGGTTACACTAAAAGCAAAATAGCTCAGTGGTTAGAGCACGAATTTACTGACCAGAAGGTCAGTGGTTCGAACCCGACCTCTGCCTCTCGACTTTCCTTTCCAGGCTTGGGTAACCTGGCAGTATCCCAACCCTCGTAGTTGCTTCGGGTGGCATGGGAGTTAGGCATCGAAAGCGTGTTACAGCTGAATGGTCATTAGTTCATTACTTATCGAAAATCCATGAATTCCCTTCATTCCCTCTTTACGTGTAGAAAGTATCAGCCGACGCTACAACCTCAAGGCTTACAGATGTGAAGGGATTCACCGGCTCACACAAAGAACGGTTCGATTTGGAGACAGGAAAAGGCCGTGGGAAAGAGGGTCGTGAAAATAAGCCACCTGCATTTACAACTACTGGTATATCAGCACCTCGGAAATGAAGCAAGCACGAACTCGCTTTTGGTTGCAGTTCTTTTACACATGCATTTTCCACAAACGCACCATCGTCTTTATAACCAACAACAGTATTCTGCACACATGATGTAATTTATTTGTAACTGGCAAACAGACTGGCAAATTGTTTTTGTTCCGTTTATTTGGCAACCAAGTAATTTGTTTGTTATTCACATATGGTGAACTTTTGAATCAATATTCACTTTTTCTTCGTTACCACAAATAATACTTTGACGAATATATCTACGTGAATAAAGTGGACTTTCATATAACCTTTGTTGATTAGCCAAAGAAGATGTAGTTGAAACAATACCCCTGATTAAAAAGCCGTTCAGCTATAACACCCGTTCGGTACCTGACTGCCATGCTACTTGGAAGAACTGAAATAATTTCAGGTGACACAAGCCTAGTTAGGAGCATTAAAGGTGTTGCGGTTGGGGTCGTACCGCGGACATTCGGGATGGTAATTTCTCGCCAATGAGGTGGCTCAAGCTCATGCCTTTAAGTAAAGAAAACTGTCCCTGTGACAGAGGTAGGCAATCTGTGACTACGTTTCCTCAAGGATGGTCAACCGCATGGTAACCCCTTTGACCACCACAAATGTCGGTACACAACAAAACCTAACGGAAAATGTCCTGCGTGACACAGTGGGTTCTTCTTGCTTAGCACTTCGGCTAACGATGCAAATGATCAAAGCATATAAGTGTGTCGAGACCGTTTCCAAAACTTGATGAAAAGAGCGCAGAGTTTCTTGACAGATGAATTTTAAGCTTCTAAAAAAGGTCTTCTCATATTGGATCGTTCGGACCTGGTGCTTTCGGGATACACATATAGATCCGCTCAGCCTTCATACGACTCCAAGTTTTTGCAACCGAATCTCCTTTAGAAAAAATGACTGATAATAGAAAAAAACGCCGCGGAAAGTCAGCTCATGTAAACAATACGATGTTTCTTCGCCAGAGACACTATAATCACCGGGTGCCAACATCAAGTCAAGAAATACATGTTGCAGTCCGAAGCCACCTTCATAGAGGAGCTGATATTGAGTACCAGTCATCTGGCATGTCATGACGTTAACTTTTGAAATGTTCGTACAGGTTGTCGGATGATTACTCAACTTAAAAGTCAGAAATGAAGATGAGGGGAGTCGATCTGCCAGGATTTTACCCAGGTATAAGTAGTTGGTGCTGTTCACCAAATGCGAATGTCTGCATTCGATTCCCTCTGTCAGATAAGGGATTCGTATAAAACAACGCCAAAAAGAACTGAGGAATGGCCAGCAAAAATCCGTCCGGGTTCGAACTCGACCTCTGAATCTCAACTTCTCCTGGGCAAGCTGGCAGTATCTCAGTCACCAGCATTCATCGGGTGGCATTGCAGATAAGCACCGAAAGGATATTACAGCTGAATGAATCGTTCACACGCGCCTTCAGTCGGTTTCGGCTATCCACATAGTGATCTGTTTTTTTCCACATAGATGCACCGTCGCCCGCACCACCCGGGACATATGTATCCCACTTTCTATGTATAATGCTGTTTCGCCGAGTGCTTCACCTGTTTAGTCGTCGTTAGTGCCAACAGACTACCGCGTCTGCACTTACCTAGGCCTTGATCCCCGGCGACGGGGAGATCGCGATTGAACGAATGGTCAAGTTATTGGACAATATGATGATCAGATTATACGTGCTGAAAATCTGCATAAGCGATTCACATGTTGCACTGTTCCGTAAGCCGCGGACGAATCGATGCCGCAATTCGAAATATGATGCCCGCGCATTTGTTGTATGGACGCCCCTGAAGACATAGTCGAATATCCGACCTATCGCTTACTGGACGAGTAACTGGCCGATCAAGCTAACGCGGATTGGTCTTCTTCACCATGCGAAGGAAAGCCAATAAGGTGGAAGGGCTTTTTTTGACGTATCTGCGGGACAATATCTGACATCAACGAACCAGACTGTAGATCTGAACAGAAGTCGCGAGCTCGTGGAAATCAGTTTGAGGACACAAAACTGATTGTGGTTCTTGACTTTGTTAGTCTCCCTATCTGAATTCAATTTTGGTTGACTCATCGGCCTGAAACTCATCCTTTGACGCTATCCATCATCTCTTGCTGGATGCGATCTGCAATTTTGAAGTACCTTCATCGGGAACTCAATGTCCCTTTACACACGGTTTCATAACAACGGCAGTACCCATTACTGATGCATTTTGTCCAGGACGATGGTAGCCCAAAATCGGTAGCAGTAGGCGACGGGAACTGAGAATATCTGGCAGCATGATCCGGGAATCATTTGAGCAGTGATTGATAATCGTGAAACAACTCCCGCTTTAGGTCTGACTAGTTTTAAGGTCACGTTGCCGACATTTTGAAAGATAAGTCCTACTCGCCTCTTTGGTATTTGTCTTTGGCGAAACATAGATGTGTCTAGTATCTGCTAAAATGCAACACTACTTATTTGTATTCAAACTGCTAATCATTGGTAACTTCGTGGCGCACCAAAACTGAAATCAACAGACCTCGTCTACGACCAGCAGTGGACATCCTGGTCGCGCTTGGATGTTGTAAAGCGCCCGGCGCGCTGAACTGACTGGAACTTGGTCCCCCAAGGTTCAATCATGTCATGAAGGTCGATAGGGTTCAAAGGTCCACTCAAAGTTCCAAAACCTGTTTTGGCTGGCGAAGCGATTGGAGGATTTCAGCTGACCTAAAATGCCCAGCGTAACGTTCAACGCACCTGAAGCTTCCCGATGGAACATGATCTGCTTGGTGCCGATATAACATGAAGTTCAACTTTTAAAGCAAGGACTGACTGTCTCCCCTGCCATATGAGGATGGGAGAGAACTCGTTCACAGTTACAAAACTTATGGAGAGCATTTGGAAGGCAAAGTGCTACAAATCACGTGTTGTTCCCGACTTTAAAAAAGATGCTAGATCTGAATGTATGGACAATCGGACTATTAGGGTAGTCTCCATACCTTGTAGGTTACTCACAGATGTTACCCTACCCAGGCTCACTAACATGTGTGACAGGCAAGGTCCCATTCGGGTCGTGGATGCATTGAGTTCTCTAACGCTGCCACAACTAAAGTAGTCTTTGATCCAAAACCAACCATGGACTCAGTCGACTAGTTGGCGGAATCTCCTTCTAACGTCTGCCGTCACACTTCAGTTATTATGCTCCAACACCTGTGGGTGCGTGGAAACCTACGAAGAACATTCTCCCAAGTCCACCAGCAAGAGTGGCGTTCGTCAGGACTGCTCCCTCTCTCATTTCCTCTTCAACTTCACGATTGGATCGAAGAAATCTTCCCTATTTCTTCTACCTCTGACATTAAGCTTGTTTCAGGGGAAAACTTGACCGGTAGCATGCGCACTATATTGCACTACTTGTTTCACGCACTGAGTAATCGAAATTATGCTGCCATGCGTTTCGGTATACGCTTCCAAAGTGCAAAGTGCTATTCACCACTGATATACTGGATCCCAAAGCTGGCCATGGCATCGTAATCACTAGAGATGATGGACAAATTTACCTAGCAGCAATGCTGACGAAGTCAGTTGCGGTTGTGGGGTTCGTAGAATGTACGTTTATATCAGTCTTGTTTGAACCGTCGCCCTACTGTCGTGGTGGAATTATTCTGGTGAGTCTGCATCAAAAAAAGGAAGCAGTGGATTCGAGTTTCGCTCTCATTGGAGCTGACCAGCATTGCATAGCTTTGACGTCTGCAAAAGCGAATTTATTCACACTTAAGCGATGTTAGAATTCGCGAAGGCCGTTCTACTTACCTTCAGATGAGACAGCTCTGGTGTCGAAGTAACACTGGTCCATCAGTGGAAGGCAGGGCCTACGACGCACCAGTGTGTCCACCATTGCATTACGGTCAAGAAAACTGACCGCCGTGGGTTGAAAACTAGGAAAGATTGTTTCTTTTTTACCACCAGTGACTTCGAAGCATTGCAAACAGAATTAGTAATGCTGAAGCGCAACGCCAAAGACTACGTCATGGCAGCAAAAAAATGCCAACGGGGAAAGAAGCAGTTGGTGTCAACCGGAAAGCTTTGGAGGGTTGCACATATGTCGAGTAGGTTTCACAAACGACGGCGGGGGCATCCGGTTGGTGAGATATTATGAATTTCGAAGCAGTGAACACGTTTTTTATCCTTCCTTCTGGAGACATCAGACATCCTTCCAACATTGCGTTCTCTTCCTCTCAACCTCTCACTACCACACAAGGTTGTGCGGTAGTGAGTGCGAGTAATTGTTACTGGCGGATTACAGTCAACGATGACTCTGTCTCTCATGCATTAAGACCGGCAAATGGTACATAAATATCGTATGATTTTAAACTACATCACTACTCATGTGCGAATAAGTAGCTAAAAGCAGTGACACTGAGAAAAACGAACTCAGATTAAGGGTTGCTCTTTACAACCAACCGAGGAATTCTGAACTTGTATTTTTAAGACCATTTCAGTCAGTTTCGAACGTTCTAATTGTCATCCGAGGAGATACCTGTCATGAAAAAACAAACTCTTGGACTTTCTGAGTAAGGGAGGCGTGACCTCTCGAGAGACTTTAAGGGACTTGAGTGGAATGCTTGCTGCAGACCATCTTCGGAGATGGCTTATTTTCGGAAGTTACTGCACTGAAAATTCATTAGATTTGAAAACTACCGTTCAGAAACTCCTCAAGACAAATTTTGGTTGACGGGATATAAAAATACCCGTTCTCAAAGGGAGCTGGTGGCTCACCGTGGCCACTCAAGTTTATTCGAATGGAAGCTTCTAAAAACCGCTCGAGGCACCTCGGTGGTTAGGGAGCGAACTCCTTGAACGCAAGGTCCGTGATTCGAATCCAACATCAGCATCTGGACTACTCCTGTCCAGGTTTGGGCAAACCCTCGTTCTTCCTTTAGGGTAGCATGCGAGCTATGAATGTTATTCTGGAAATCTCGCAGGGAGATTACTGTATGTTGTAAAAACAATTGAAAAAAAACGTGGGTAACCGTAGGGGTTCGTCAGTTCGGGGTTCATCAGAGATACTAGAGTAACAATTGCGAGAGCCACAAATTTCCCTCCATATTCCCAAGGCTCCTTAGTTGACATCCGATTGGTCACTCTCAGTTGAAGTAATCCAACCTAAGAATACCAGTTTCACATTAAAGAACCACAACTGTCTTAAACATGCTCCGGAAATATCATTGGAAAGATCGAGGTGAACCGGAAATTTACAGGCTGGTACATGGTGGTAAACAAAATTATCACATTCCACCGGTTGTACAAACACAAGTAGCCACAGAATAAGAAAAAATGAGGTCCGGCAAACGGCGCTCACAAAAGAGAGGCACCAGAGAAAGAAGTTGGTAGGAACCGAGATTGTAGCGCATCCGCAAATAGCACCTGAGGTAAAATGACCAGGTTGTTACAGCCGGAATGGTCGGATTAGGTGAAGAGTTTGATGGATTGTATTCGTCTGATCACCTTACCTCCAACCGAACTGAGGGTTTCTTTCCCCCTTGTTCATCGGGTGCTACTTGTTGCGATTGTTTTGGAGGAAGAGTGGATTTCTCGTCAACTGATATTTTTTGTCTTCCTGACGGCTGTTGAGTACCCATACTATTAGCAGGCATAGTTGTGGTTAGCACTTGTGACGTCGAAGTCTCCGGGGCAGCAGTTGCAGGATTTTCCTGTTGGTTAGCTCTTATGTTTTCATCTTTGACTTTAGTGGACTTGACTCTGGAAGCACTTTCTTCAGGGCTTGGGATACCCGATCCAGTCAGCGGAGCAGGTGAAGTGCTCTTTGAATTCCGTTTATCCTTTACTCTAGCGGACACTACGGAGTCTGCGAGAGTTGAGTTTCGCACCAAAAGCTGCTCAGACTGGATGGACCGTTTGACTTGTTTTTCCTGGGTTTCAATCCATCCTGGCGCGTTTAAGTCCACCTCAGCTCTGTTTGTCAATGAAGAAACCAGAGGCCGCTCATTACCACTTTTTATTTTGGGAACCGCTGTCGACAAAGCGACATCTTTCGCGGGCCCCTTAGGGAGTTTCTCACTCGTCTCAGTCGGTCTGCTCACAATAGCACGCTTCGGTCTTTCATCGTTCGGTTCTCGATCAACACGAGCTAGCCCATCGTTTTCTTTCACAACAGCATCCGCCGAGGTTGTCACCGCTTGTCTATGAATCACGGGCATTACCACATTATCCGGAAGCTTTTCTAACTCAGGCCTTACAATTGATTGTACCGGCTTCTTTGCAGCGGACTCCAACTGGTTCTCGTTCGGCTCTCGATCAATCCGTGCTGGTCCATTCAGATTACCGTCAATGACCGAAGATTTCCGTTCGGAACCGTTCACATTCATGTCCTGTTTGACAGCCTTTGGTTCCAGTCTAACATCGACGTCCCTGTTTTTTAAACCGTCCGGTTTATCGAGAATCGCATCGATCGACCGTTTTGGCGGCTCTGCAGCAGCAGCAGGTTCAGCTATGGCAACGGAATCTGGCCCAGCCTTAAAATGTGGCGCCGGGATTGCAGGCTGAATGCCTGCCGGGAGGGATCCGACGGAATCCGGTACGTAACGCGCAGTTAGAAGACTGAAAGCAAGCAACATAACTCCGACCAACAAGACCATGGTTGCGTGGCGTCGTTGACGCGCCGATTTGTCATGCGTAAATGCGTACGTGGCCGTCAAACCAGGTAGAATATAACCGACCAGAGAGCCCGCCAGAGTGGACGTCAACTGGATGATGATTTCAACTGCAATCCAAATGACAGGGATTGGAGGGATGAGACAATGGAGTAATGAGAAGTGGACCAAAAATTTTGTTCACTTCATTAAATTTTCAGCTATTTACCTGAGCTAAAAGGTAGAACGCAGGTGATGAAACCGTGTCTACGACGTGCTCGGTTTCGAATGCGCAGTTTGGCCATATGATTCATACACGACCAAAATAATTTGAGGCAGTAGAGTGAAGTAGGACAGAGGTCTTCGGTGACTGAACTCTAGCAAGTGTTCAATACAATTTATCGGCTATTAATCGTGTACCGTTGGCACAATAGTTCTAGCGGCCACAGTTCCAGTCACGGGAAAGTGGGAGCATGTGGGGGGGGGGCAAATAACTAAGCCTTGGATGAAAAGGCATGCTTGGTTAGTTCGGGAACTGAGTACCTAAACATTGAAGGTGATCACTTTGATGCACGAGCACTATTGACTGAGCTGACTGAACTTTATCGGCTAGAGATCATTAACCATGTACCACGAATGTCGTTTTGTTTTCGATAGAATTGGCCCGAAGATTTAGCATGATGAATCACATAAATCGCTGACTGAACCAGTCAGATCTTTATATATCTTGAAATAAACATCTCAAATGTGAGAGGATCTATGTAAAGATCTTCTACAACGCTTGGAAAGGGATAGTGAACAAAAAATGACTACTGTAACCCAATGTCTACTGAAAAACGATTTGCAAAATCAAGCATACACTAATTTGAAAGGATGTGCGAAAAAACGGAAATAACGATTGAGGAAACTTGTGCGACAAACGAGTAGTTACGAGAAAAACATGACACTGACGCCGAAACGGTGAAGACAACAGGCTTCAGGTGTACGGAAGCGGTCTGCTACATTCAGGAGGAGACGAGAGAACATATGCTACCCTTGGTAATTGAGCAGGTGGCTGTTCGCCGAGCTTGGTAATCGGCCTTCAAGCTCGGCGAACAGAACAACAGCCATCTAATCAATTACCAATGAATGCACTGATATTCCACCACATTACCATATACAACCCTGAGGAGGGTTAGAAATACTTAGCCTCTCTCTCAGGGGCAATGAAAATTAGATCCTTCTTGACGGAGAACCCAGTTTTCCCTCCCGAAAAGCGAACTACTACCAAGCGTCTCTCTCAGAGGGTCACCGTACACATTTTCGCCGTTGAGACAACGAACTGCAATTGAAAATGGGGGATGAGTCCTGTCAGATAAGCCTCGGACTATGGGATTGGAAGTGCGCTGTCGCACATTTTTAGACTACTAACCTGAATCGGTCATACTAAATGTGGTGAAAACTCAAGGAAATATAAAAAATATCAGTTGTTAGGGAAAGCCTTTGGATGTTATTGACTCTGAGGTAATCTTTCCGCTGAACGACGCCACAAACGAGGACGAATCAGGAGCACGATTGAGTTACTGACTATAGGGAAGTCTCTTTTCCGGGATATTTTATTTAAAGACTGATGGGAAAGCGGTCAGGGTGATCCACGGCCAAGACCTGTCAGCCTGCAATGATGATCAGGCTTCATTGGATTGCTTCTACAGATTTCTACACGCGCAGAGAGAGCACGTTTTTACTTAATCCGCTCACCGTATCATCCGGATTTTGGCTGAATCCCACCTGAAAGTGTCCAGAGCTGAATGTGTGAGCGCATCCTGACTACACACTGACTCTTCCGTCGCCAATACGTTTACAGGACCATTCATTTTATGGCTTCCAACAGATGTATCCACAGAGTACGCCGAAATCTCCTGTCACCTGGACGTCTCCCTAGATATGTGTTATCCGACGGATACTAGAAGCATTTGAAAAGATGATGCAACGCAGAAAAAGGGCATATAAAGTCTGAGGTACGACCACAACCAAGAAGTGTCTCATCCATTTCAGCGTCACGGCAGAATTTGCCTACCCGTGACACACACTTACCACGAAGGCTGTGGCCTGTCTGAACAGCATGGTCCAGAATATTCATGATGCCAAAACGAAGTGCTTCCGAGGATGCTTCATGGGTTCTACTTCGATCGAATCAATGGTATACTCCTGCTTCATTAACTTTCCGAAAAAGCCTCATGCGTCCCTTACACATAATTATTTCACCGACGCCTTGTCGACAGCAGTTTTAAAGGCTCATGCGGACACACGTGTGTTGGCATTCTGGAAAGCGTTTGACCCGGGGCTTGGCTAAACTTAAAGACGGCTGAGAATGAACGAAGTGCTTACGAAACCCGAAATCGGGTTGGACTGTAAACCCATATTCACAATCGAGAATAACCATCAAAAGAGCAGAAAGCGTGTGATTGAAACGGACAACTTTAACGGACGGATCATTAAATGCACGGTACAAAGAACAACGAACGGACAACATACCGTGGCGATTAGCTGTAAAGGATTGAAAATAATTTTCTACTACGTTGTTTGTATGGCGGTTCGGGAGGGGGGAGTCCGACGTACAAACTAAGGAATATTGAAAGGTTTGACTCACTTTTGCTTGTGGTTAAGCTGAGTGCAAAGCATACAGCCAGCACACAAACAGTCATCAGGCGAAAACGGTTCTTGGGTACCGGAATATCCAATCCGATATCGGTGTCAACTGCCCACGATGGATTCTATGGAAAAACGACAGCACATGGAAAGCAGACGGGAGAAATGAAGTACCCGTGTTTTACAGATGAATGAAGAGCGAGAAATTTCTGAAAGAGCGTTAATATCACGTTGTTCAGTAAGTCCTCTGTTAAAAGTTGGCACTTTGGAAAAAAAGGGCAGATCGTCCAACACACATAGGAGGAAGACCGTCCAACCAAGCGTGATCGAATATCAGCCCTGGTTAGCAGCAGTGTATTAGCACACATGCAACAAGAACCACCGATTCATCATTCCTATCCCTAAAAATGCACTGATGATGTCACCTCAATTGGTGATGAAACGGTTGCAATCAAATTGCGCAGCTCAGCGAACAAACCAAGGGCAATATTTCCACCTAGTATGCGACCCATATATTGCTTTGGGTACCCGTTAGTATACTGGAGCTCCATACTCGGCATACCACTTCCACACGATGAGGTTGACAGAAACGCTTTGCATTTCATACAGATATCCCAGGTCTGGAGGAGTGAGGAGACTTATTTCGGTGGTCAAGATGTTGAATTCGCCATTCCTCTGGGAGAAAAATCATGCTATCGTGGGGAAATTTCGGCGCATGTATGAGGGCATAACAGGGAAGCTCGTGGAGGATGATTCTGGTCAACCTGAAACACGTGACCAGTAATTCCTGCTCCTGGTTCGTGTGTAATTGATTTACCAGAAGTCGATCCGGCCCCCACACTAAAAAGGTGCTAGAAACCCATAATAAAGACCGTTACTGGCAAGTGAGTGTAACAACTCACACTGCTGATCAGCCGCCCGTGTACAACACTGATGCTAAACCTGGTCCACTGAGGAGGTATAGCACAAACGATTGCCGGTCAGAAATGGTAAGGGTAGAACATTGGGCCAGTGACTACCGGTGAGGTACGGAACCGAATGCAGGGCATGTGAGCATTAAAAAGCACCTCTTGGACTTGGTTGCAAATTGAAAGAAACCTGTGGAGGGAAACATAGGCTCCGAAACGTTCAAATCGACCGCTAATATTTTTGATGATTTGACCAGGTGATTGGTGCCTCGTGAGTCCGTCTTGACTGAATTAACAGCCTACTAACGAACCGAGTACAATTCAAAAAATCGGAGCACGATCGATTCAGTGCCATTGAGAATTATCTGGCGAAAGACTGATCAAAACTATAAATGAACATAAATGACTCGGTAGGATTGACCTGGTATCCAGAATCGATTAAAAGATTGAACAACACACTTTTACTTGGTCTTTTTATTCCGTGACACAAGCTGTTGAGGAAATTCCCTAAATCACTAAGTTGTTCAGCTGTAGCACCCTTTCGGTGACTAGCTGCCATGCCACCTGAAGGAAGCACGAGGGCTGGGATACCGCCAGTTTGCCCAAGTCTATACAGGGGAAGTCGAGAGGCAGAGGTTGGGTTCGAACCACGGACCTTCAGGTCAGTAAACTGGCGCTCTAACCACTTGGGCCATCTCACCACCCTAAATCCCTAAATCCATCATGAAAGGGTTGCTGAATGATAGTCTAGAAACCAGCTTCTCTGCCATAAGTGGTGAGGAATAGAGGGAAAGCATGAGCTCGAAATGTGACAGGTTCCGGGACTAAATCGCTCCAGACTGGCAGCCGAACACATAACCTTTTGCGGTCTCATTTAGAATTGAGGAACGGGTGGGCTACGATTTGTCAGTGAAGGATTTCAGTTTATCATCAACCGTATTTTTTTCAAATAGCGGACTAGATTCCGCCTGTACTCGATGTCATTAAATCTACTGCCCTAACGGGGCACCCCTCAAGTGTTCGACTTCAGTGATGTATTCATTCCCCTGTCATCAAATATCCTTGATTTCGTGAGTCGGCAAACCTGGGAACGAGATTTGGATTTTCAAATCACGTTCAAACAAAGCAACTGCACGATGGAAATCAATTATTACTCGCTGAAGTGCTTCTCAAAAAGAGACTATCACAAGAAGGTGAACTCAGCCTTTTTTCAAAGGAATTCAAGAGACAATTTTGGCTGACGGAGAACGCCGTAGCGGTCCTTCCACATGATGGTGTATATTGCCCAGCATAAGTCCGGAAACCGGATACTACTGTCAATTGTTCGCGCTTCTGACAGTCCATGCGCAACGAAACTGTAGACCAGCGCACGGTCCACTTTGCACGAAAGCTGCATACCTTTGGACCAACCCTTAACAGCCGTCGAATTAAGAATAACAATCAAGAGTCCAGAGAACAAGACTGAGAAACGCAAGGTCAGCGGTAAAAACAGTCAGAACAATCCCGTTTTGTACTTGCATGGATAAAACCAAATAGTTTCTGCACACATAAGAAAAATCGTTCAACTGTAACACTCTTTTGGTGCCCAGATGCATGCCACCCGAAGGAAGTACGAGGGCTAGGATACTACCAGGTTGCCCAAGCCTAGACAGGAGATGCATACAAACAACTAAGCGTATCACTTACTCTGTGGAACAGAAAACTGCTCAACGATTCACGAAGAGGAAATAGGGTGAGCGGAATCGACACGGTCACAGTGAACAAGAAGCCAGCCTGGACGCACAAACTGCGCAGATCGTTCGGGTAAATCAGGAACACATTGCCGGGCAATTCACCACTATTGACAAACGCTACATAGCCGAAAAATCCAAACTGTGGGAAGAAAATATAACATGACAAGAGAATACCCATGAGACCAGATAAATGAGAGAGAGGGTAAATGTGCTTGCTGTACGACGGGGGAGGGGGTTAAATTCGAATCTGGACCCGTGAGTAAATTTTTGTACTCATTTGCAGAGTAACTTGTTGTTAACGAGAGACATAAAGTAAACTGGGTGTCAGTCGAATCTTTCGTTCAGGTTTCAGTTGAAAGAACATCCAAGATGTGAAGGATCTTTCTTGACACAAACCTGTTTGGGTATAAATCGATGTTTAGGCAGTAAGCAAAACAGACGGGAAGTCAAGAAAGAGTTCCAGGAAGAGAGGAAGACGTGGTGGACTACCAGGGGTTTTCGGCAACCTTACTAGTGGGTTATCTATCCATCAGTAAAAAAAATACACTACGACATCTCGAAATTTGTACTAACAGAAGCATCAGGGTCCATCTGTGGAGGACATCCACCTGAAGATTATCACAAACGAGAATTTCGGCTGAAATTCCGATAAGCTTGCTACTAAAAACAAGTTGTTTTACAGAGGAGAAACCTGAAGAGATCAGTCCTCACAATATAGCGTCCACGTTTGGACTAACTGATTTCAGAATTAAAATGAATCCTTGTAGTCATTGTTTTGAACTAAGCGGTTACAAGCCATTAGACACGAATGCAACTCATCTGCACTAACTGATTTCAGAATTAAAATGAATCCTTGTAGTCATTGTTTTGAACTAAGCGGTTACAAGCCATTAGACACGAATGCAAATATCTCATCTGCACAGTTTGTAAAAAGTGGACAATCTCAGGTGCCCTGTTGAACTTTCCTGAAGGCTCTTCGGTCATCAAACAACAATGAAGAAACACTGAGAAACGGCTCAATAGTTTCCGTAGTAACGTTCACCTTCCATCAGATGCTGGGGCAGAGTTTGGACAGCAGACCAGAAACAGCTTACGTGCTTCAACGATTGCACTGGTTAGGTCGAAGGAAACTCCGAACAGTTCACCACCAGCTTTGCCCTTGTTGCGGCTCATCAGGTAGCACTAATCAACAAATTTCCAACAAGCATATTACTCACTTGAAAAGTGCAGTGCAATTTCGGTACAGATAACATGGAATCTGTCTTTCGAAAAGCTGTACGCATGCATAAGCGCTGGTAGTTCGGTTAGCTAGTTGTCCGTCACGGGAACAAGCCTTAAGGTATGTGCAGCATTCCGACGACTCCAGCCACGGACAACCTGGATCGAATTCAAGCGCAATTTCTGCTTACCAACTGATGCGTCTGATGCTTTGTCGTGAGAATACAATACCGGTGAAGTGCACCAGCGACATTTGCTCGATCCTACGATGACTGCACCTCACTACTCCCGTCAACAGCGCTCCTAATAAAGTGTTAGTGATTGTCAGGATTTAGACCGCCAGCAGCGACAAACAGACCCAATCGAACGCATTGTAACCGAGGCAAAGAAAGAAAGCCAAGTGCTCGTCACAAATGAAACGAAGCAACGGACCTAACCTACACAGCCCATGAATACAAATCGAAATCCGACAGCGGTTCTCGACAAAACACACCAACCGAATGCGTTTTGAAAAAGGAAGGCACCTTAAATAAAGTTATCAGCTCTTATGTCACTTGATCAACCGCTGTAAAAAGGTGACCAGAAGCCACATTCTCGACACAGTGACGTCCCACTCAGAAAATGCACAGAACGTTCGTGGATTTACCATTTTACAGACTGACGATGTCAACTTTTGATCACTCCGTTCAGCTAGACAGCATTTTGAATTTGTCACTGAACTATATTCGTTTCTTCAGTGTACCTGGGTCTCTAACCACTTCTAAGCGCCCCCTCAAGGTGCCCCATTCGGAGGGGAAATATATGTATGCAGGTATCACTAATGGAGACTTATGGCACCCATTAGAGTAGTCTGGTAAGACATTCCATTCCCAAGTAACACTACTGATACCATTGACCTCATGCCGTAAAGAGCGGCCTGGAACAAAAGAGAGCAGGAATGCCACCAGGTTGACCTAAACATAAAAAGCTCTGGCATTTTCTGTCGTGGTTAGTGCCATAGCTCTTCAGGCAAACGAAGAAGGAGGGGTTAAAAATCAGTCGACGGATTGAAACAAATGTGCCAAATCAACATACCAGACTGTAAGCGACAGCGATAATGACCATGACCAGTCGGACGGTTCGTCGCATGTCACTCACCGACAGGTGCTGAGAGCCGCAGTAGACAGTGTGCAGCTGACTGTAGCAACAGTGCAGAGAAAAAATGGAATACAGTCAGTCATAAGTGAAACGCACATCATTATCGAATCTGAATGATGAGGTTTGTCACACGACTGGGGACACGAACGTCAGTGGAAAACTAGTTGTGAAGTGCGAAATAGACCATACTAAAAATGAGGTTAGTTGAGCGTCGGGGCAGGAACCATAAGCCGGTATCGTCAGCCAAAAACACAGTTTTTAAAGGGTAATTTAGGCGCGCGTTTCAAGTTTGGTTCAATGACTTTGTCCTGTGCTAACAGGAGTCAAATACTGAGAACAGGATAACGCTACATGACGCGATAGACACGAAACCCACCTGAGTGTTAACCAGAGCAGTGCTAGGAGTGGTGTTTTGTTCGAATATACACGGCGCAATATGCAACTAGCGTATCTGTCAAACTGCTGGTGTGTGTACTGTTCAGACTCGTTTCTAGTATTCCTGTAAATTCGTGGGGCAGATAAAACTGGTGATTACCAAAAAGGGTGAAGCGCCCGTACAGTCCTTCTTGACTTTTCAGTACAGACTGGGTTCATCTGCAACACAGAAACTTCAGAACTGACTATCCCCCATAGGCTCGCGTTTCGATCAAATCAAATGACCTACGAGACCTATGGGGAAACATTTGGCTGTGTTCTTACAACATGGTCGTGACCAGTCATACTTTATGAAAACGCTCGTGGTGATGGGAAATGTCTTAGAGGAAAGCTTCAGATAGTTGCGGTATATCGAACAGAACTGGCAAAACCCGCGGAACGGCGAAAGATTGTAAGCTAGACAAGGTGGAATCGGGAAAAATTGTCACGACCGAAGACGCCCATCTTCGTTTTTTAATTAACGAATTCGTCAAATAAATTGGAAAATTACTGCGCAAGAACAACGCTAAAAGTTGCAATGCACTACTCATGAGGTTGCTGGAAATTTTTCGACACCCCACGATCGGTTTCGCCCTTCTTGGAGCTCCTCAGGTACGCGCAGCCCCCGAGTTTCTGTCAACCAAACTGCACGGATTTAGCGAATATACACTCATTTGGAAACTAATTTGGTTTTCCGAGAGACTCACCTGGAACCCAGTTGGATCCTTAGGTTATGATGTTTCCAGGCAACTGGATGTGCTGCCTCAGGCCGCCTCACGTTTCAGCTGCTACGATATTCGAGATATCGCGATACATGTATATTTGTAATGCACTACTCATAGGTTGCTGAAAATTCTTTGGCAGCCAAAATTTCCTAGCTAGCCCAAGAGTGACGCGTACGCTTCGGAAGATAACCGAAATTGAGAATAAGCAGGACAAGTAGTTCAGTCATGGCACTTTTTAGGTACAACCCTGCCACACGACGCAAACAAACACGAGGGTTGAGATGCTGCCTGACCCTAGTCAAGAGCGATTGAAAAGCCAAGGCTAGGTTTGAATTATGGACTTCCCGTTCATAGGTCCAAAGGCACAGCCTCCAAACTATCTGCATCTCATGAAGCAAGTTGATCTGCTCGCGCACTACAGAATCCGAGAGAAGACACCAGAGCCGGAAGACGGTGAGAAACACACAACAAATGTTGGAGCTAAGTCAAAGTAAGTCGTTAAACAGATGTGGTGCCGAGACCAGAATTGGTTTGTTGAGTTCGGACGAATCCGAGAGAGACGCCTCATTAGGAAAGAAAGAAATGCTGATCGACAGAATGAAATTTATGGAACACCCTCGCTAACCTCAGCAAGTAGCCGTCATGAGAGAATTGTGCGCTTGTACTACGCCTAACGTACGAGTATTGGTTTTTATTATGGTCATTTATGTCTACAATTGATCCAACACAAACGAGAAAAGAGAGTAGAGCTTACTGCGGACTGTGACAATCACCAGTAGATTCAAACTGGCTCCAGGTGATATGATCAATCGCGACGCAGTTCAGTTAATTTACACAGTACTAAGGACAGCAGTCAATACTGAACCATTCCGTTCGTGTCTTAAAACGAGCTTGCTGCTAAGTGCCGACTAATCAAACCGCTCACTTGGCTATAAGAAAGATGAACCTCTCATACTCGCCTTGAGAAACCTATTCAACGAGAACACGGTGATTTTGTAGAAGACGTGAGTCACTAAGTACGTTAAAACGCGGTGTACTCGAGGATGAAGACATGATTGACAGGACTTGAGTAATCTTTGGCTGTTTTTCTGGAGTTTGACAGTACGAAGAAACTCCACCACGATATCCATACACATTAGAAATTTAATTACCTCTATTCGAGGACTCTTTCCTATCAAAAAACATCTTGATATCCCTCAAGGTGGTTACACGGAAGTAGTACTGTAGTGAAACATTAATCTTTCTGTCTCCATGTTTCCTAGTAAGGTCTCGGATGAGTACCGAGCAAACAAGTTTGACGTGGCCATTCCCAGTACTTCATGAGATAACCTGAGAGGTCACTTAACCTCGGCTAGGAGAATCATTTCCACGTCATTTTCATGGCATAGGAGTTTCCACTGGAAAAAGGGACAGAAATGGATGCCCCGAGCTTCAGTCGTATGGATAGACTACCGGTTGCTTTGTAGCGTTGGGACCATGTTGAAAGAGATCAGTAGTTGAATTATGAAGCATGCGGGTCATGGGTGATAAAATGTTGGGCCACCTGTAGCCCAGCAATGAATTGTAGGCGACCGGTGCACGGGATAACTCTCATCTGAAGGGCGAACTGAAATCATTAAAGCGCTGTCGGTGGAATGTGAACGTCATTGGAGTACGGTTAAGAGTCAGGGAGAGAGACACTAACGTTGAAAGAGTAAGGTTAAGCGCAGCCAAGACTACGGTAGAAACCCCTCCAAAGACAAATCTGTCCTGATGTGTACCAAAGTCACATATGACGATACAGACTTGTAGACTGATATCAGTCATCGGTGGTGGCGAACGGATTATGGGGCTTCTAACCTAGCTACTGTTACGGCGCCTTGGACCTGCATTAGATTAAGACTATAAAGGAGCAGTCCTACTGATCGCGTCCTGCTTCGATGTGACACATAGAGGTGTTTAGTTTACTGCTGCTGTTCCTGGTCGTATTCGTGATTGACACAGGGCACCAAGTCCCAACCCTCTCTCTTCCCTGACCATTCATCCTTCATGGTTACATGGTAGTTGGATACCAGTGAGAGAAAGAAGGCCTCTGCTGCTAGGTTACTTATCAGAAAACGCCAACTGAACAGTTACAGACTATTGGACAGGGAAGCAAAACTCTCATAGTCATCTTGTTTGCGAAAAAAACTGAATATCCATCTCCTTGATCGCGTCTTCCTGAACTTTCCGGGATATTCATTGAATGTTGCTCAAACGCAAGCAAATGCGACTCCACAAATTCCTTAATAGATCCCACTTTGCAAGAGACGCGAAGCAGATTTACGAGAAAACGTACTACTCGCATGACCCCATCAGTAGTATCCATCGTTACACCAGTAATAACTTACTGCACTTTGTTGTTGATGATGTGTTGATGCGCTTGCATACAAGTTTGGTTTGAAACGAGACTCAGCTGAATACCCACCGAATCTCCCTCCCATGATGTTCTTCCTCAAACGAAATGCTCTAGCACACTACATCATGTTTCAATGGTACACCACTATCGCAATACATTGTATAGACGTAACACACTACTTATAAGGTTCCTCCATGGATAGACCTCTCTGAGATGACTGCTACATAGTGGTTTGAAGTGTTAATGAGATCATTGGGTTCTTGCTCATGCGGTCATAATTTATTCGCTTCCAAATGTTACCGATTTTCCTTCCAGCTTCTATTAATCTTCTACCTTGATCACTGTTCATTCACTTTTGCCACCCGTCGCGTGTTGACTGATTTCTTTCACAAGACACCTTCCTGCAGTCACATTTCGCTAAAATCATCATTCACCTATAGATATGAGACGTTAGTCCAATGCAGATCTCCCATATTCTGGTAAGGATAAGTGCAACGTGGCATTTATGTAAGCTGTGCAGTCGCGTTCCGGCTAAACGCTGTGGTAAGCACAACTGTGCTGCGTAACAGTAGCATATCTGTTTGGCTCAGCTACATATTACCGTATTTCAAACACCCAGAGAAAATAATGAGCATCACATCACACCAAGATTCGTTATTTCTAAAGGGGGCTGGTGAATAAGGAGACAGCAACTCACGTTTGGCAGAAAAGTGAAGCGAAGAAGATGGGAACACAATTGATGAGACCTGCGGGACGCCACCAGTTCATGTGAGACAGAGGAAAATCGGTGAACAGTTTTGGCAATCCAATAACAAAGACCATCTGTGGGTGGGTAGGGGAAGGGAAAATTAGCAACGTGGATTACTGGGAAAAAAGTGGGTGACGGGACACACTCATGTCGGCCAACAAAGTGGTTCGGGTAAACAAGAAAACAGTGAGACGTCACCAATTAGACTTGTCATTGAACCTATGACAAAAAACGAACTGCGGAAATCAAAGTCATTGCGAAGCAATCTACATGTGGTCAGAAACGAAATCGTTCAGCTGCAGCACCCTTTCGGTGCCTAGATGCCATGCCAACAGAAGGAAACACGAGGGGTGGGATACTGTCAGATCGCCCAAGCCTAGACAGAGGAAGTCGAGAGGTAGAGGTCGGGCTCGAACCGCGAACCTTCCAATCTGTAAATTCGCGCTCTAGCCACCTGAGCCATCTCGCCCCCAGAAAAGCCCTCAGAAAGGCTAGCTTAAAGAGGTTATGAACAAAGTCTATGACTGGACACGAGTCGTGTTCATTCGAGACACTACAAGTGACGCGTACAAATGACACGTGCTCCAAAAGACCAAGTGATCAAAATGTAGCGCCCCTCGCCCTGAGAAGCCGCACTACATATTCGTATGAAACATTCCCATGGATTTCCCATTTCAGTGGTATTCACCCATGATCCGCAAGAACTCGGCACCTATCGTAGATTATTTCGTGGATTAGAAAAGTAAATGCTCGGAACTGGTAACTTATATTCATTATCCGAATTTTATTGGTTGATTTTGGGTCAAGGTTTGGAAATACAAGTGACAGCAATAATGGTCAATCGTTCGTGATGCGGAATACCCGACGCGTTGTTTTCCATTAAACTAGCAATTTTGTCCTTAAGTTTAGGCAATTGACTCGTTTCTGAGCTCGTATATCGAGATAAAGTTTGTACGTCCACCCAAATGCCTTCCTGTTTACTACAAAAAGCATCTTGTGCTGTACATAAGCGATATACGGGAGTATTATTGAAACACGTTACGTTCTTTGTCGGCCAAGAATTGATGTGAATCTCCTTCCCCGAACAAAGGTCGCCCTGAGAAAGGCTGAAAACCTCTCTCTGCAGTGTCCCTTCATCATACGAAGATGGCGGTATTTCGTAGTCTGGTGCAGCTAGAGAGGTTGAAGGACATTTCGATTGAGTGAGACGTCAATACACAAAACCCAGTGGGTCGGCTGTTGTACTAATTTCCATAACTGTCGTGTAATCGCTGTGCTTGTTTATGGCACTAATAATTGAACTGCACTGCGCAGAGCTTGGATAGAAACACTTTCCTACATTTATCAACCGATGGATGAAGAAAACGAAATACAGAAGAAACCACTCGGATGGACGTAGCAAGTGAGTAAGCGGACAACACACCTTCTTCTCGGTTAAATGCACTCCTGATGCACCCAGCAAGCCGTATCATTACAATGCTTCAACAGAAAAAAGTACTAAACCAAATGCCAGATAAGGAGTACATCAGATTTCACTTAGTCTGACGATATTTACCGTCGACAGCTTGGTCTCCGAAAGATGTTCAGTTAGTGAGTGATGTTCAGTATAACTTGTATGGCTCATCATTCATAAAGGTTGATAAGATAACCTCAGATTAACCAATATCAATTTGTCAGCGTTGAAGGGACGGTGCCAAAGGACAAATACTTGCATCCAGTAAAACAGAGAAGGGCGAAGTAATAGTAAAAAGAAAGTCAACGAATCGTCTTCTGAAGGGTCATAGGACCCTGTAGCAATCCTGAGGGCGAGTATTCCCGGTAGGAGGTGAATGAAGCATCGCGCTACCGACTACAAATGCAGTTTATGTGCTCACCTTCAGTAATTCATGGGACATTTTCCAAAGTACACATGTCGGTGATGACAACTCGTTCATAAAATTCCACCCCGTATGTGAACTGAGTGAACAGAACCCCATGTTCACAAATGCGTAGTGTGAATGACTTCAAGCCAGATTGGTAAGTCACTTGGAGATTCCACCGACCTGGAATCTAAAGTACTTGCTCACTTACAGTTATCCCAGCGGACTTCATCACAACACAAATCATAGCCTACTTTGGATGGAGTTCAGACTCCGATCCACTATCGAAACAGCTTACACCGCTCACAGAACAAAACCATATGCACGAGTATATGTTCCAAGAGTATGATGCGCCCATTCATGCTTGTAAAACTTGGATCAACGAAATGGGAGCTGCAGTGACCTTGAATTGTCCCGTATCACCGCTTGCGTTTCCATCTCCGAACACCTGTCCTCTTTTGTCTACAATCATTTGTCTTTCCAGGGGGCGAGATGGCCCAAGTGGTTAGGGCGCGAAATTACTGACCGGTAGATCCGAGGTTCGTACCCGAGTTCAGCATCTCGACTGCTCCTGCCTAGGCTTAAGGGAATTGGTAGTATCTCAGCCTTCGGGTCTCATTTAGGTAGCGTGGCAACGAAAGGGTGTTACAATTGTCCTGACTGTAGTACGACGTGCGCACACCGACGAGGTAGTGAAGTGTTTCCATAAAAATGATTTTAGTTTTGTATCCATGCATGCTTTGCTGTGCAGCATCAATGGGCGCACTCCATGATTGGTTCTAGATTAGGCCAATGAGCAAAAGCCACGGTCGAACAAAGCGGTGACGGTTTCCGATGGAAATAAAGATGAAAACACACTAAACATCTCCATGTTAATTAGTTGAAACCAGATTGTTTGCCGCGATCCATCGGCAGTCTGCTAATTAGTGTGTTGAAGGAAAGTATGTTAATTAACACAGTTCAATATTGTGCAAGCTGGTGACCTGACTTACGTAGGCCAGTCCGAAAGGTAGCCCAGGTGCTTAATCAGATTCCATGTGTAGGCTTGTGGATAGTGAACTTCGCGAGTCATGGTGCGAACATTAAACCACAGGAAAAAGGATATTTTAAAAAACGGCGGCTAGTGATCGCCATTCCGATGTAAAATGCAAACCTATTTACCTTTGCAGACATCATAAACCAACGTGGCTCTAGCGGTCGCGGTGAGGGCATAGTGCGGTTGACTTTTCTCGCGTCGATTCACATTAACAGCGCATGACTTACTAACCATGTTACCCGAGCGAAACGCTAACTTATTAGGTGAAGAAATCCTAATATGCCACAAGAGTCCGATTGTCTGAATAAACCGAAAGCTGCTTAGATCAAGAATCACATTCGAAAAATCGGGATTTACTAAAAAGCAGAAAATATTTCACACGATACCTTGGCGAATCAAAGATGAGATCCACTGAAGTGTGGCGTCCAGAAAACTTACGTGCAGAATCATGAGACAGTAGAAAAGCATGGCGAATGCGCTCAAATTTGAGAGACTTTGCACCCTGGTAAGGAAACAGAGAGGTGTGATTATCACCGTGAACAAAGTGAGGATGGGGATCCGTAGATTTTCTGGTTCCTGAAAAGCAAGACAAAAACCGTGGGAGGTTTAGGTGAGGACTGTACTTCACGCAGTGAATGCAGGAAGACATAACATCAATGATGACCATCATACCCAACACCACCAATAAATCGTAATATCCTACAGCCATCGTTTCACTGCCGGACCTCGGCCCGAATTAGTTACGCAACCTGAGGATTAAGTGTGCTCATTTAGAAACACTGGACATTGTGTGGGATTATGACGACTCGATAGTTGAAATCACTCGATGAAGGACTAGGGGAACCTTTAAAACCGGGGTTAATGGTAGGTTTGTTCGTTTTTCTTCCAAATTCCAAAGAAAAGTGCAAACAGTTCCTCGCCGTATCTCTAAAACTGGCAGAATGCCAGTTGTGACAGTAACAAATAACTCACACAATTTCCGGAGGCTGGCGGACTGGATCCTCACCCTATCCAAGAAGAAAAAGTTGATAAGAAGCTGCATCTGGCGTTCCGCATCTTTCAGTTCAGTTCCATCTCACAATCGTGAAACGTGCAAATGTGTGAAGTGATTCGTGTCGCTACAGCTTATGGTATTTGGTAGTGTAAGATGGGCAGGGTACGGAAAAAAACCACAAACTAAGAACAGTGGGTTGATGATTATCAACAAGAGAACAGATGAAACATCGTCAATGGTCGCATGACATCGTCACAACGATGACGGTGTGGTGAGGCTTCGATACCTAACCTCGCCGACGACACACTACTGCAGCCGAGATTCATTGTTATGTTCTTTATACCCCTTCTCCATGTCATACGTTGTATCCAGCTCCGAACCAGTTTCAGCAAACAGGGCACGGCAAGGCAAACGATCCATTGGCATACACAGCAAATGACCAAGAAAGCGTAGCTGAGGCAGCCGTATCAAATTATCAGGTGAGCAGGAGGCTAATTTGTAAGAAAAAACCGTGCGTGGAACTTTATTGTTGCCAATTCGAAGGCACTGATGGTCAAAGACAGGTAAACCTATTCTTTCTTCAACTGCCAGGTTTCACAGCCGTAAGACAATACAAGACTTACTGCAGAGTTGTGGGCAGTGACTTTCACGCCGACTCCAGAGGTGTCTAATTTGGAGGTCGGCACAGCAGCCTCTAGCAGTTCCAGCAATCGCTTCGTCAGCATTGCTACTATCCTAACTGATAGGTAAATCCGTCCATCATCTCTAGTATTCCTGATGATATGACCAGCTAGTCGTTCGCTCGCCAAGTCTAGTAAGGGCACTTTGTACTCTCTCGGCGCATACAAGAACTCACAGCAACACAATTTATATTATTCGGTGTATTTCATATCCGGATGGGACCTGAACCAAGTAGTGATATATCGTCCGCATGCTCCAAGTCTTTGAAGTCCTCAAGTGAAACAAGCCCCGCACCAGGGGTTGAAGAAATAGCGAAGGTTTCTTTGATAGTTAACCCAATCATGAAGTTGAAGAGAAAAGGGACAGAGGGCAGTATTGACGGATGCATCACGTTGTCAACTTGCCTAGATAGCTGACAAATTTCTCTAAGGACCGATTCTTTGGGGCAATGAATACCATGAAGGTGAGTGATTTTCTTAGGTGCAGAGGAACCAGCTACAATACGGACACGAACAAAGGCATAATGTGAATCTGCATGTGTTCCAAAAGGACCCGACATAAAGCTGTCACCTTGAGGCGGTGGTCGGGTTTAAGTGTTGCATGGATCCCGCAGGCTACACCGGCTGAAACTTTGTTGCATTAAGTGCAATTATGCCATGAAGGCCAAAAAGGAGCAGTCAGAGCAGCGAGACTCCTGCGTGTAACAGTGCTAACAGACGACCTAAGGGTAAAGCCGTAATGTCCTCTGCGATAGAAGTGTGAGGGTGGTGACGTGTTTCCCCCAGACAACCAGCACGTTCAGATGTATGGAAACAGCGATGCTGTCTTGCCCTGAGGAAGGACGGGTTAGAAAAGGCCGACCCTTAAGACCGCACACTCCGATCACCCAAAGGTTCACTGTGACCGCCGGCCCGCTGTTATATACAGTTGAAATACTTTTAAGACTAAAGAGTCTGTTGCTGCACAAAAGGCACCTGCTGTGCGCAACTGCACTAGTAGTGAAACAGTTATGACCTACCACTGAGCGCTCAGGCCAAGCCTCTGCAACGGAACAGGTCAGATTATTGAGTCACCGGCTCTGGGCAGGAACCGCGAACAAAACCCTACTGCACTCTGTCCCGCTGGTTAGACTTCTTGAGTTAGAAGATAGGGCAGGATCTCCGAACAAAACCCTAAATCCTCCCACTACCTGGTGGGTCAGACGTTTGAGTCAAAGGCTCAAGGTGGTGTACCTCAACCAAACCCCCTTCCACCTCAACCCCTTCCCACCATACAAGCAGACGTTGCTGGGTCGTTTGACTGCAATTTATCTGACCGAAAGGCCTTATTTACCCCGCTGCTTAGTAACAACAAAATAACACATTTCTAAATCCACGAGATCTTTTCTACATAAAGGATTTTAACGTCCGTACTCTGTGTCAAGGTAGTACGCACTGAATGCCCGCTAAAACCTTATACTCCCCTAAAATTGATGTATGTTGTGTCTCCGAGCATACAAAACTTGAGTTAGAAGATAGGGCAGGATCTCCGAACAAAACCCTAAATCCTCCCACTACCTGGTGGGTCAGACGTTTGAGTCAAAGGCTCAAGGTGGTGTACCTCAACCAAACCCCCTTCCACCTCAACCCCTTCCCACCATACAAGCAGACGTTGCTGGGTCGTTTGACTGCAATTTATCTGACCGAAAGGCCTTATTTACCCCGCTGCTTAGTAACAACAAAATAACACATTTCTAAATCCACGAGATCTTTTCTACATAAAGGATTTTAACGTCCGTACTCTGTGTCAAGGTAGTACGCACTGAATGCCCGCTAAAACCTTATACTCCCCTAAAATTGATGTATGTTGTGTCTCCGAAAGATGCATACAAAACCCAAGCAAGATTATACATCTCAAAACATCAAGGACGAAAACAGCTTATTCAAATTTCTTCCCCTATGTGTTCGGTGATCCGGAAGCGGTTACTCGTGGAATATATAGCACGACTACATGACATCACATCAAGGAATGTTAAGCATGACTCTACTCCTCGACCCTCCCCCCTAAAATTAGTCATTGATACGATTGTGAAAAACCCGTTATCAGTTTCTAATGCCTGTGGTGTCGAAGCGCTCTCAGGACTTTCGCTCAAAGATGTCGAGTACGCAGGCGACATAGCTCTTCTGGGATATGACCCCGTGGTAATAGAAACAATATTAAATGATATAATTTACTCTGCCTTAGAGTTTGGCATGTGCTTAACACCGGCAAAGTGTAAAGTGCTGCTGCAAGACTGGGTGGGCTCGAACCTTAATCTCATGTTGATGATGTCATGATGAGCCGACTGAGGTAGTAGACAATTGTTTCTAATTGTGCAGTTGTATCGGTCACAGTGGTCTTGTGAAAGACGATATTTCCGCCCGGATTGGGAAGGTCAGAGCAGCTTATGTGAACCTGCGTCACCTGTGGCGAAAGTGTGACATCAGATTATCCGTCAAGGATCGAGGTTATAATGCTGCGGTGCGCTACAAGAAGCAGATATCTGACCGCTGCGCGCCGAGCACGTCAAAAAACTTTCAGTGTTTGGGCATGTATGTCTTCGGAGCATTGCCCGGGTCTGGTGGGAACACCGAATCAGCAATGCTAAAGTACGTTGAATGGTTTTCGGAAGAAATAACTCACCCAAGGTAGATGAGCTGATCACACTGCATAGGTTGCGCTGTGCTACGTGTGCCAGTCGATTGATTTCCTCGAAGGGTTCTTTTCGCGCAACCACGTGAGGGGTAGAAACAAGCCAGGGGAGGTCAAACAATAACTTGGCAGCGAAGTACAAAAGCTATTACCAGAAAACGTAGCTGCACTGTCATTGCCGTCTTCCTGGATGGGGACCCCGAGATAGGACACATCAATGGTTAGAGACAGTGTCAGCCACGGCCCAGTCAGGCCCTCAATGGCGTTCATGTACCCAAGCTATTACCTTCAATACATAGCTCGCTCAACAATTAAAAGTCCACTGACAACCCAATGCGCAGCTACCTGCCCCACCTCCTCAAATCACCGGCGAACGAAACCGTGGCAGCTATAACCACTGTACAAGTACCGGTTCTTACAGCCAATAGTTATGATGATAAACAGCAGACTTAAACACAAGATCCGCATCAATAGCTGGTAGTTACATGGTCAATCGGAGCAGACGATTGGCTTCTGTTTGGAGGGTTCCAGATAGTGTGATGCTCACGTTTGCTAGCGACAAATAGATGGTGATCAGTACACAGTTGTAGGAGGCGACCGCCATTGTGGGCCCGAACAGCAAATACACAAAATGTTCTACCGGGACGACTGTCATACCTGTCTATTCCTCCCAGTTGATACATATGTCCAGTGAGATTCAGGGATATACAGCTTCGTCGCCATAGGTGTCCCAAATTAGCAAACGCGACCCGAACCTTGCAGATTAGTCCATTAATCTGATCTAGCACACTACAATCGAAACTGATACAACTTGCAAGATACATAAAACACTCCACAAAATTCAGTGCCTCTTCCTGGACTGTAATTGGCGTGCTCAGTGACTGAATGTCTACGTGCATAACCATATACTATGTGAGTAAAATGTGCATGCCAAAGGACGAGATGGCTTTTGTCAGGTCATCCGAAAATACCTGCGTCTTCTTTTTCCACTTCGAAGGCGAGAACAATGTCACCTACATATTCCGGCTGCTTTTTGAACTTCCAGCGTTCGCCCAACTATTTCATCGATCACTAAATTAAATAGCGATTAAGAGCGTGGGTACCCCTGACAGACACCGCTTTGTGCACAGAAGCTTTTGGAGAGCCCTCCGGATGCACTCACATGCTCGAAAATCCGAGAATACAAAGAACTTATGTTCACAAACGTTCGACACATTCCTTGAGCGAGCGTTTCAAGGAGAACAGAGAGGTCAACGGAGTCGAATGCATTTTGTAAATCCAGGAATACTAGGTACAGAATAATGCGCCGGCGGTCATGGTTAGCCGATTGGAGTGTGCAGGTCGACCTTTTCCGACTCCTTATTCCACGCGGACAGGCAGCATCGCTACTTCCACAAATATGGATGAATGGAAGCCCCTTACTGTAGTCACACTCCCATCGCTTAGAACAGTGTGACTTGGCCTCCAGAGTGGCTAGTTATACGATTATTCTAGTATGGGGATCCTTCCTGGTATGGCTAAAACCTAAGAAACCATGCCGCACCAAGGGAACAACTCTACGATAGGGTTAGGGATAACTGGGGCAACTCACACTGTTAATAAAAAGTTTCGAAGCGATTCCAGAGCCCAAATCAGATAAGCTCACATTGTATCCAACGATAAATCCAAGCATTAGCCCTATAATGCTGGGAAGAGTAGAGAATCGTAGTTGATGACTTACCTTAATTCAGTGAGGAGTTTTCCAAGAATACCAAGATGTCGGAAACCTGAACTGTAGACGAAATTAAAGCAGAGAACGTACAAGTTTTTTCAAAGGATGTAACTCTGTGGGTTAGGCAGAGCCTAATGAGCAAATCACACGATCCTGTACAGGCAATGCCAGTAATTAGGATTGAAACTACTGACAGTAGCACTCCACACTAGAGATTATTCAAAACTGATAAGAACGCCTACCTGTTGAAAACAGTAGGGCATCGCTAAAGCAACAACACCCATTGTGCAATTAATAAGAGTAATCACCGCTGCCAGTTGACCATGGCCGCGAAAATCGCAAGCCCTGGAGCGTAGCATGTTACAGAATAATTGTACAATTCCGAAAAGAAAACTAAAAAGCTGCAAATGCATAAAAAGGAGCCTGGTTGAAAACTGCATACTCTTCGACTCACAAAGAGGGCACATTTGTAGGATGTAACATGGAATTAATGAGAAGACGAACGCTCAAAATGATTGCAAGAGATCTTATGTAGTTAATGCTCTTGTCTTTCGGTCAGCTTGTCAGTGGAATTACTTCGCAAAGACCACTGGGCAACATCCTCGTGACTTAAGTTTGCTGCATCCTTATGGCAGCGAAGCACCAGTTTTAAACACTGATGTTTTGCTTTCGATGACGATGATTGTTCCATCCTTTTCAATTTCCTTTTTTCCTATATACGCGCGTATACACAATGAACTAACTCGTGAATCAAATGTGTAACTTATGCTACGACCAGCACAGCTGATGTAATTTCAGTAAACCGCCAATCTATTGTTCAACTGACTAGAGACTATGCGATGTATCTCAGTACTTAAAATATAGTGCACCCAACACAAGTATAGTGCTACATAGATATCGACGGTCGAAAGCAAGTAATCTTCTATCGTTCAGCTGCAACACGCCTCCGAATCCTAGCTGCCATTCCACCCGAAGGAAGCACGAGGGTTGGAATACTGCCAGGTTGCCCAAGCCTAGATGGCAGAAGTCGAGAAGCAGAGGTCGGGTTCGAACCACGAACCTCAGGTCGATAAATTCGCGCTCTATCCACTTGGTCCATCTGGTCATCTAATTTTCTATCTCCCGCGCAGGATGGCTCGGGGTACCTAACTGCGCCATGCTACCCGAAAGGAGCACAACGGCTAGAGTCATTTAGGCGATCCTTTACGGGTTTCAAAATTCGTAACAGGGAGGAAATCAAGGGCTTGAAAACGACCCATGTGCACCAAAATCCGTTTGGGTGATCTGCCTCCCACCGGGATCAGGAAGCCCATATTTATGGCGACCAAGTTATGGCGAACCGCTACGGGAGGCGACGGCTCAAAGCTGATTGGTCGAAAATGGATCAATCAGGATAGGACATTTTCGGGTCCGTGATTCCGTGGCGGGAAATGCTGAGTGACTTGAAGGAAGATTTATCGAAGCGTTGCACATATTGAGGGATGTTGTAAACATTCACGTAGGAGATGGGGTTTCTGGCCAATGACGTCCGAAGATGCATCATTAGAGATTTGGGCATCAAAGAAGTTGGTTGCTCCATGGAACAGTAGCAGATGGTAAACTGAGTGAGCAGATAAACATACGCCACGCAGGGGTAAAATTCGCGCCACAGTTCCCATTTTCGGACGTTCTCAAGACATCCTCCTTTGCCTTTGTCCATCTGTTCCTATTGTCTACTGCATACGAGCTGCGTATAATCTGATGGCCGCAATCATCCCGTGAGATCCCAGCCAGCATATCACAGGTCAATAAATAATGTCACAATAATCGAAGGCCCAGTGGAAATTCCACATTTCCTCCCTCCGGTTAAGCCAATAGAAACTCTGGTAGTGTGGTTTCATTTGAGGGTTATTCTTATCTTTATCCATCTGTTTTTCTATTCTTACCTGGAAAATTCCGTACTTAACCGCAGGCTGTGTAAAAAGTGGCAATAATGTTCAGTAAGGCGTCAATCAATACGGGCTGTCCTTTCGGGAAATGCAATAACCACGTTGATGTTCAGAGTGGGCTCAAATGCCACCGAACGAACCTCAGGTCCCTATAAACCAGCGTGTTAAAAAAACACCGATGGTGGTTTGCCCGCCTCAGTGTCGGAAGGGATTGCGTCAGGTGTTAGATATATTTCATACATAGCTTTCACGGATTCACGGATTGATACACAGGATCGAGGCTTTTGCCCAAGATTCCCGGGTCGATTTTGTTCTTGTCGGTCAGTGGCCGTCGTTCACCTGAAAGACACAAGTGTAAAAAAGGTGGAGCACTGCATTTTATGTACTCCCTCATCCACATGACACTAAATTCCAACAACGAGTTGTTGGTACGTTTGCATATTATTCGCAAGGGATACCATGCTTCTGTGAAAAGATCAGTCTATTCATGGGTTATTTTAATGTATCCATTACAGTTATACGTCACATAGCTATATCCTTTGGCCTAAATGCTGGTTAAAAAGCGCTCAAACCGAGAGCTCTCTCTCTCACACACACCGAGCGCTGACATGTTCCCACCCGAAACAATGACTTTCGCAAAATGAATGGCAAGAACATGCTGGCTGTCCACTTTTCGGACCAATGTCATCGAACTATCGAGCGTTCTTTCGTGGTTTAAATTTTTCGTGACCATTGCTTGAGCTCCCCAGGGAGAATTCGAAGGTTCAATTATACCCTCATCCAATAGTCGGTTAACTTCAGAGCGGGTGAATTGTTCATCGTCAGGATTATAACGTCGTGATTTCGTAGCGATAGGCTTACAATCGGGTGAGAGGTTAGCAAAAAGAGGAGGTGATTCGACCGTAGCAGCAGGTAGGCCGCAGAGGGGGAATGGACTTCGGTTCCCACCGAATGTGATTCCAACTTTGTTATGTAGACCGAGGAAGTCACGGCCTAGCAGCACGTCAGCACATAGATTGGGTAATACCAATAGTTTGATTTTTTTGTAAACAGTACCCCTGTAATCGATGGATGCGTAGCAGTAGCCTATAGTTGAACACGTCAGAGAGGCAGATGCCATGGTAATCACAGAATCGTTAGCATATATCTTCCAGCCATGTTTATGAACCACCGGAGGAGATATATGACTGCTCGAACTTCCTGTGTCTATAAGGGCCTGAAGCGATATCCCGTTCACCTTTATGCTGGTCACCGTGCGAGACGAGCAGTTCGGGGCCGCAGTAGTCAACAGGGAAGATGAGGCAGAATCCATCGTGCAATTTGAGTGATTTTTTGCAAATTTGGATCTACGAACACGCTGAAAATGGCCTGTTTTGCCACATGATTTACAGACTGCTTCTCTCGTGGGGCATTTTGACCGTGGGTGCCTGGAACGAGCGCAAAAGTAACATCTGAGAATTGGTTGACGAGAGATAAGGTGTAGAATCAGGGGAGATTGAGTGTGAACGGGTAACTGTAAATGTCTATAAAGGTGCTGCAGTCGCAGAGAATGATATCGCCTGGTTGTACGAGTATGACTGAGCTTGTTTGTGGGCCAATTCTAATGACCTAGCCAACCCATATGCTTCATCGGGAGTCAGTTCATTTTAAGCCAGAAGTCTTTCTCTGATGGTAGTAAACTGAACTCCGTTGATCAGAGCATCGCGTACACCTTCGTTTTGATGGTCATTGACGGACACCGCCTTGGAATCACAATTTTCGGCCAAGGATTTAAGCCTCTGGACAAACTGATCAATATCTTGACTGGTGTCTTGTTTGCAAGTTTGTGGAAGATTGTGAGCACAAATCATATTCTTAGGACGAACGTACAGCTTTTCAAGTGTAGTGATAGCGGATTCGTAATCTGGACAGTCAGCGATGTAAACGTATACAAGCGCATCGACAAAATGGATCAAAGTTTCGAGTTTATCTGGATTAGGCGATTCAACAGTGCCCAGAAACGTTTGGAAGGTTCGGAACCTATGATTCCAACGCATTGTTGCGTCTGGAGAATTCGATTCTGTGTTGAAACAATTGGGTCGCAGCAACGGTTCTATTGTACAAGTAAATTGTTATGAATAGAATATCGATTCTGACTAGCGCGATAACCAAGAGTGAATAGCGTAGAATGAATAGCGCTTTACTTGTCTATGAATAGACGTACATAAGCTGAAGGTGAAGGTGAAGGCGTGGTTAATGCAAATAGACAATGTGAACACAAAGAATAGTCATGACAACGTCATTGACGAGTTTTCTGGTTTTCAGTTTGGCTTTCCCTGCACAGATACATGTGCATCTAGCGTAATTTAATGCCTATTTGAGTTATGCTTTTTGTTTGGCTTGCCTATGCATGCAATTTCGGATCGTAGCTCCTCATTCATATGCGACGAACTGTCCGCATTCCCACATGACAGGAGAGCTTGCACCAGCCGAACAACCTCTTATAATCCCCAGGGGAACGGGCAAGCGGACGCCTCTACGGGACAATGGAGCGCCCACGTTTCCCGGGTCGCTTTTGTTCGTGTCGGTCAGTGGCTGTCGTTCACCTGAAAGGCACGAGTGAAAAAAGGGTGGAGCACTGCTCTTTATGTTCTCAGTGCGGGGCAGTATGCTTGCCAGCGTGAGAATTCGCAGAAATAAATGTCTAATAGTGCTTTGAGCTGAGTTCTAGATGGTCATTCCACGCACCTACTACCCGAAATGAGAAATAATTTGTGTAACACATGTGCGCTCTGAGCTTGAAGATTTTCTTACCATGTCCCCGCCGTGTTTTCCGGGTCAACGGTAAAAAACCTGTTTGCCAAGCTTTTTTCAAACAGGGTATCAGTAAAAATTAGGTCACCTCGGAAGCGACGGCACCCCAGGGGAAAGAGATCAAGCATCGCAAGACGCGTTTCGTAGTCCACGGATTTGAGTGCGGCAACCATTCTCGTTGCGGCTCACTGGACACGAGATGGCTCAAGTGCTTAGAGCGCGAATTTACTGACCGGAAGGTCCGTGGTTCGAACCCGACCTCCGCCACTCGACTTCCCCTGTCTAGGCTTGGGCAACCTGACAGTATCCCAGCCCTCGTGCTTCCTTCGGGTGGCATGGCAGCTAGG